TTTGCTTCCTTTGTTAAATTGATTCCTAGATATTTCATTTTTTTAGATGCTATTGTAAAAGGAGTTATTTCCTGAATTTCTCTCTCAATGAGTCTTCTATTTGCATATAAGAAGGCTATTGTTTTTTTTAGTGTTGACTTTGTATCCAGCTACTCTACTGAATCTGTCAATTAGGTCTAGAAGACTTTTGACTGAGTTTTTTGGGTCTATGTAAAGTATCATATCATCAGCAAATAATGACAGTTTCACTTCTTCCTCTCCTAGCTTTATTCCTTTTTATTTCTTTCTCTTTCTAATTGCTATGGCTAATGTTTCCAGAACAATATTGAACAGGATTGGTGATAGTGGGCATCCTTGTCTTGTTCCTGATTTTAGCGTGAAAGTTTTCAGTTTTTGACCACTTAGTATGATGTTGGGTGTTGATTTTTTATAGATAGCCTTGATCAGGTTGAGATAAAGACCTTCTATTCCAATTTTCTGTAGCGTTTTTATCATGAATGGGTGTTGGGTTTTGTTGAATACTTTTTCTGCATCTATTGAGATGATCATGTGGTTTTTGTCCTTGACTCTGCTAATAGTGTATTACATTTATTGATTTATGGATGTTGAACAATCCTTGCATCCCTGAGATAAATCCGACTTGGTCAGGGTGTATGATCTTCTTGATAACACTCTGTATTCTGCATGGGTTCTATTTGGATTCATGTTAAATATTACGTCTACAGTGTGAGTAATGCATATTAAAATTTTGCCACTCTACTGTGCACCCATTATACTTCAGAACATCATATTTTACATGATATATATGTGTGTGTTTGTGTGTGTTAATTTAAGAAAATACATTGGAAAATATGTAACGTTGACCTTCCATAAGTTTTTGATGTTCTTTCATACTGAAAATGTTTTGCAGTGTGCTTCCCTCTCCTCCCTGAGCATGCTCATACAGCAGCATAATGTCTGCAGAACACTACGGCTCTAAGCTCCTGATCCCCACAGAGCTCCCAGGTAGCAACCTCCAGGCTCCACCTCAACTCCCTGTGTGCACCACACTGAAAAGACAGTCTGGGTCTATTGTTATTCTCTTACTTTGTTATGAAATTTTGTTTTCTGTTTTCATAAAATTTTTTTAAAAATTATAAAAATAGAAGAAAAATCCAATAGTTAAATGTTGTCTAAGCAAAGAAACATGTCTAAGCAAAGTATTGGCATGTTCTCTTTAGATTTTCAAAATCTGGACTTTATTTCTCTGAAAAAAAAGCTAATGCATAATTTTCTTCATAATTTTCTTTTATTCTTTTTGTCTTAAGTGTGAGATCAAAGAAAGCTTTCAGAATTTTTTCACCGATTTCGTTCAACCACCCATCACCCTCTCCTCTGAGGGGCGATTCCATGCAAAGCAGAATCTGAGTGGAGACTCTGGTTTCACCCTGCACAGCCTGGAGGTGCTGTCCCTGCAGCTCTGTATCCCTGCAGATTGGTGCACCCTAAGGAAGGGCCAGGCCTTGGCCTGAGGGGACTCTAGCTCTGTCTTGGTGATCTTCTGCTCTCCCTTGTGCATGGTCCAGTGTCTTTGAGTATATGTATGACAAACATACACTAACAGAAAAAGAGGGGAATAGAGGAAGGGAAAAGTTGTTTTTAATCTCAAAATCTGTCCCTTTCCTTGCAACCTTAGAGAGAAATGCCATGGAAAGGGAAAATGTGAGCTTTCCCAACACTTTTGTGCTGCTGGGCTTCTCAGAGTTTCCGTGGCTGGAGAGGCCTCTCTCTGCAGTGGTCCTCATCTCCTACCTCCTCACCCTGGTGGGGAACAGCTCCATCATCCTTCTTTCCCTGCTGGACCCCAGACTCCAGACACCCATGTACTTCTTCCTGGACAACCTCTCTCTTCTAGACCTCAGTGTGACCTGTGCCATTGTGCCCCAGCTGCTGGCCAACTTGTGGGGACCAGACAAGACCATTGCTGCCTGGGGCTGCATCACACAGGTTTGTACTTTCAGTTGCACTAGCTGCACTGAATGTGCTCTGCTGGCCATGATGGCCATTGATCGCTATGTGGCCATCTCCTGGCCCCTCCAGTACACTCTCATCATGCGTCCCTGGGTGTGTGTGCAGATGGCAGCTGTATGCTGGTCCAGTGGCCTGGCCAATGCTGTGCTCCAAGCCACACTCACCCTCCAGCTCCCCCTCTGTGGGCACCACACCCTGGATCACTTCTTCTGTGAGATACCTGTGCTCATCAAGCTGGCCTGTGGGGACACCACTGCTAATGAGCTGGCCCTCACATTGTTGTCAATCCCATTTGGAATGGTGCCTCTCCTGCTGGTAGTCATCTCCTACACCTTCATTGCTAGGGCTGTACTGAAGCTGCCTTCAGCTGAAGGCAGGCACAAGGCACTCAGCACCTGCAGTTCCCACTTGCTGGTGGTCACCATGTACTTTGGGCCAGGCATGTACTTGTACCTCCAGCCTTCATCCAAGAGTTCTGAGGCCAAGTTCATGTCTTTCTTCTACTGTGTTATCACCCCACTGCTCAATCCACTCATCTACACCCTGAGAAACAAGGATGTGAAGACAGCATGGAAGAGGACTCTGAAATCTCAGGGCAGGTTGAAGACTTTAAAAACCAGATCTCTGCCTCTCTCTTGATCGACCACAGGCATACACTGAAGAATACTGGCATATTGTGTCTGCTTTTCCAAATTATTATTTATGAGTTCTGAGAAAGAGTTCCCACTTCTCAATGCCAACACTTAAATGACTGTGAAGATTCTTTGGACTGCACAGTTCTTGCCTCTCTAGTCTCACAGACAGCCATTGTCCTCCACTTAAACCCTTCATGTGTGTCTGGTCTCTACAAACAAAATGAACAGCATGGCTCATACATCTTTAGATTGGTGAGAAACATGATATTTAATTCTGTTACTTTCCTCTTTTCTTTCTTTCTATCCTTCCATTTTTAACATAATTATTATGATTTATTAATTGTACACAATAATGATTTTATGCCATAAACTAAAATTAAAATGGATCAAAGGTCTAAATATTTAATAAGAAACAATCTGTTGGAGATAAAATAGGTATGGCTCTCAAAGACATTGGCTTAGGCAAGGACTTTCTGAACGGAATCCCAATGGCAGAAGAAAAATACAACTTGGATCATATGAAATTAAAAATCTTCTGCACAACAAAGAAAGCAACCAACAAAATGAAGAAACAACCTACAGAATAGGAAAAAATTTACCAACTATTCCTCAGACAGAAAATTAACATCTAGAATATAGAAAGAACTAAAAAAATTGGACTCCCCAAAACAAAACTCAAAAAATGGGAAACCAGAATGAATACACATTTCTCAGAAGTAAAGATGGCCAGTAAATACAGGAAAAATTGTGCAAAATTGTTGGCCATTACACAAATGAAAATGAAAACTACCTTGAGACACCCCTAAAACCATAGCTATCATCAAAAACTGAATAATAACAAAGGCCGATGAGGATGTAGGGAAAAAGAAACACTAGTACGTTTTGGTGTGAATATAAACTAGTACAACCCCTGTGGAATTCATTGTGGGGATATCTTTACAAACTAAAAGTAAGGATTCCATATGATCCAGCTATCCCCCTCCTAGGTATTTTCCCAAAAGAGTTCAAATCATCACATTACAGAGATACATGCATACCCATTTTTATAGCAGCACAATTTATAACAGCTTCATCTTGAAATAGCATGTATGTCCATTGACAGATGAATGGATAAGGAATATATGGTGTACACAATGGAGTACTGCTCTGCCATAAAGACAGATAAATTTGAGTCACTTGTAGGTAAATGGATGCAACTTGAGAACATTTTGTTAGGGAAATAAGTCAGACACACAAGCTTAAATACCACATGGATATACCACAAATGAAGAGCAAAATAAAAGATAGATAAATAGAAAGTAGGGAGAAGTTAAAGTAATTCCCTAAATTCCACTGTATCAAAAATATTTAAATATATAATGAATATATACATATATTCATTTCATTCATACTACTAGTTTCTCTTCATTGAAATGGAAGTTTTTTGCTATTATCTATCTGTTTCGTCTTTGTAAGATAGAATCTTTTGGGTCTCTGAGTAACTACTTTGAAGATAATGATAGTGTATTAACTTCTGTTATTCTCTCTCTATTTTGTTATGAAATTTTATTTTTCATGAAATCAGAGGACACTGACACCAGTCATGTGCACTGACCGTATCCGCCCTCCCTCCTTCCATCTCTTCTCCACTCCCAGCTCCTCCATTAGCACCTTTGCCTACCTTAATAGTCCTCCTTCTCTCCTGTCATGATTCCAAATATGACAAGGAATGTGCTGGGGGCTTTGGTATCTGGTTGGCTTTGCTTAGATTTATGATTTTCAGTTATATCCATTTTACTGCAAGTGACATGATTTTGTTTTCTTTTATAATTGAATGATATTCTAGTGTTTACATAGTGACTTGTATAATTGCAATTATATAGATGTCCTCCTAAAGCCTCCTGAGCTCATAGGTGGAGCTTTTCAGAACTGGCTGGATCTAGAGTGTGTGATGGTAAAGGGATTAAGGTTGTATGGTACTAATTTAGTCCACTGATTGGAATTATCATAGTTCTGGGTGTGGAAAATCGAAGCCCCAACCTGGGTGTGGGTGGTATCAACCAATGGACTTGTAGTCTGGGTGAAATATAAAGGGAGAGAGGGAAGCAAGGCTCAATGCTCCTGCTGCTGCTTCTTGCTGGCTTCTCCCTGCCACACTATGAGCTGCTTCTCCTCTGCTGTGCCCCTGCTATGCTGCCCTGCCTTGGAACCAGCTAACTATGGAATGAGTACTCTAGAAACTGTGAGCTGAAATAAACCTTTCCTCCTTTAACTTGTGAGTGTTGGGTATTGTCTCAGCTATGAGAAAGTAACCAAAATAATATATGTCACTTTTTCTTTATCCATTCATCCACTGATGGGCATCTAGGCTGATTCCACAACTTAACATCTACGACAAGAGCCATAATAAGTATTGGTATGCAAGTATCTCTACTGTATGCTGACTTTAACTGAGAAATATATCACATAGTGGTATAGCTGGATCATATGGTAGCTCTCTATTTAGTTTTATTTGGTATTTTTAAGGGAACCTCCATACTGATTTTACAGTGGCTGTATAAATTTACATTCCTACCAACAATGTATAAGTGTTCCATTTGCCATGAATCCTCACCAGCATTTGTTGTATTTTATATGCTTTTTTTAATTTTTATTTTTTAATAGTACATGATAGCGGTATATATGATCACATTCCTCATGGGGAGTTGAGACATGTACCTCTTACTTTTTAAAAAAGTTTCTCTTTGTTTTTTATATTTTATTAGTACATGTTTGCAGCACATCTTTGCATTCATTCATCTTAGGGAATAGGTACATGTATTTTGTGTTCCAGATGACAGCCATTTTGACTGGGATGAAATGGAATCTGAATATAGTTTAAATTTGCATTTCCCAAGTGGCTACAAGTGTTGAACTTTTGTCATATAAATATAGTCATTTGTACTTCTTTTCAGAAGTGCTTATTCAGATATTTGCTTCATTTATTGCTTGGGTTATGTGTAGTTTTAGAGTTAAATTTCTAGAGGGGTTTTTATATATTTGGCATATTAATCATCAGTCAAGTGAACAGTTAACTAAGACTTTCTCTCATTCAATAGATCATAATTTCATTCTGCTTATTGTTTCCTTTCTGGGCAGCCTTTTAATATCATGAAATCCCATTTGTCAGTTCTTGCTTTTATTTCCTGAGATATTAGATCCTGTCCAGGAAATCGATGCCTGTACCAATATCATGAAGTGTTTCCTATATTACTCTCAGTTTCAAGTCTTACATGAAGATTTTTGGTCCATTTTGAGTTCAGTTTTGAACAGATTGAGACACGGGATCTAGTTTGAATCTTCTATAGGTTGTGTCCAGTTTCTTGGTATCATTTGTTTAAAGAGGCTCTTTTCTACAATATGTTTTAGCTACTTTGTTGAGGATCAGATGGCTGTAGATGCATGGGCTCATTTTCAGTTCATCTATTCTTATCCATTAAACAATACTACCCTGTTTGGGGAACAGAAAGGGAAAGAGATGAAAAATTAGTTTTGATGTGTTATGTTCCGGTACCAACTCCCCACATAGGATGTACTCATTATGAAAATGCGTACTAATAAAAAATAGAAATTGAAATAATAAACAAAATCACTGTAGGGTATGTTGAAATAAGGTGTTGTGGTGCCTAGAGCATTGTTCCTCTTTCTCAAGATTGCTTTCACTTCTCAGGGTCTTCATATGAATTCTTCAATATAGATTTTAAGATTTTTTTATTGTTCTTTGAAGAATGTCATTGGTATCATTTTTGGTAGTATGGGCATTCTAACAATATTAAGTCTCTTCAAGCACATGGGAGGTCTTTCTGCCTTCTAGTGTCTTCTTAAATTTCTTTATTTACTGATGCATAATTGCCATTGTGGAGATCTTATATCTCATTACATAGGTTTATTTCAAAGTAGTGTGTTTGTGTGTCTATTTTGGAGGTTTTTTCCTGATTTTCTATTTTATATATCATATAAACCTACTCATTTTTGTATATTGACATTGCTTCCTGATACTCTGCTGGATTTAATATTTTAAGAAATTGTAGTGGACTCTAGATTTTTCTAGCTATATAGTTATGTTGTCTTAGTTACTTTTCTCTTTTCTGAGTCAAAATACCAGATACCTAAAGTTAAAGGAAGAAAGGTTAATATGGGCTCATGCTGGAGACCACCTTGAGCAAATTGAAAATTTATGACTTGGCTTCTCATATTAAAAGTCTGAGTCTGCTTATTAGCCCACAATGCCTTACTGGAGGGCTGGAAGTTGGTATAGGAAAGGAACAACTCCCCACACCTCTGGTTACAGTGGAGGTCTCTATGATCCATGATGCTGTGATGTCTTGAATGGCAAGACAATACTGCAGCTAAGGGCAGCATGACTTGTACAGAAAACTTCTATAGATCCAGAAATTAATCTGGAAAAACCAAATTTCCCATTAATCAATGAGCTGTTCCTGCTGGAATGTCTCCATTCCTTGTTGCTAGGACCCTGCTCACATCAGTGCTCTCCATCTGTTGTTTCCTGCACAGTCCCTTACCCCTTCAAGAAGCTGTGTGATTAATAAATAGTGGCGAGTTCCAGGAGACAGTGTCTTGGCCTGGTAAGAGCTCTGACCACCCTGGGCCCTCATCTAAGCAGTAAAGATCTTGTCTTGTCTTTTGTTATCCTGCTGCCATACCCCTGGTCAGGTGGTTAGAAGTTTGCAGAGCTTCCAATAGGCTCACAGCTTGTAGAGGTTTCAGTACATAGTTGGCTGGCTCCAAGGCAGGGTGGTATGGCAAAGGGCATCACAGAGGAGAAAACAAGCAGCAGAGTCAATAAGAAACAAGTGACAAGACAGACCCACAGTTCCTTCTGTCCCTTATATCTCACCCAGGCTACCTGCCCTTAGGGTGGGTAGCACTCACACCCTTGGTCCTAGAATCATACCATGAATTAATCCCACATCAAGTCCTTGATCCTAACAGCACAAACCTATGATCCAGCCACCTATGTCTACA